GGTGGAAGCAAAAAATTTAACGGAGTTCAATAAAAGATTGGATGAATACATGAGTAGTAAGGGGTGGTTATAGTTGGGAGCTGAAAGGGACATCCTTGATGGGTTAATAAGCTCCTTTTTGTACCTTTAAAATTTTATGAATTTATGAAATATGCATAAAATGTTACAACTGTGTGATCACAATAAACTAGGATTCCTGTTCAGGGTAATCATAATGCACTGAAAACATACTTTTGCTGTAATTTAGTTGCATGTCTCAGTTCTTAACAAATATATATTTCTTCAAAATTATTAGACCTAGAAGATTATCATTTCTTTCTTCTATATTTAAAATTACCTTTACTTTTTCTTAAATGTTGTGTTTATACATATTTTTCTCTAATACATATAGAAATTAACAATACAATTGCTAAAATTTACTTTCATACTATGCATTTGAAACTATTATTCCTGAGGTTGTAAAATAAGGCTGAAAGCAGTTTATTATAAGCTTTTAATATTTGTTTAATCCTTATTGACTTAAAGTTAACATTTTAAGAAAATATTAATTTATGATAGATTCCTCAATTGACTTTTCCTCAGCATTTTTATTGTCATGCATAACCTCTATTATTTCCATTTTGCTGGGCATTTGTTACAGGTATTGTGCCTCAGTTGTAAATACATGAGCCATTACTTTTCCTTATTAACTTTAACCCTCTAACAATGACTGGCTTTTTAAACTACTCTCTACTCATGTCACTGAGGAGCATTCAAAATTTAATTAAACCACTTTACTATCAATGTATTTCAATGAAATTATTATTATCAAGTACATTATAGTTCAAAGTTTATATTATCTTAATTTTTATTCCTTTATTTCAAAAGACACATTGAAAGCAATATTGAATTCTCTCAGGTTTGTGTCATGCAACACATGAGCTATAAACAATGTTGAAATTTGACAAAGTATAGCTTGAAGCATAAGGGGAATAATCATGTAAATATAAGTCTTGACCTTTTGTCACATACGTTTCAAAGTACTTTTTCTGAATGCAGCTGAAACAAGCTGTGACAGGTGCCATGCCCACCTATAGTTAACACTGAGTTTAAGAAGTTACATATACTTTCAACACATGTGTTTCTAATCATTAAAGAACTAATTTTACACTATAATCCAACAATGGTTATTTTGAAATTAATGTCAAGTTGTAATACTTGAGTAGATGTAACTGCTTGTACTTTGTTCACAATAGCACTTCAGTTATTTCTTACCTATGTATGTTATAGTTAGAGAGACAGTTAAATTTCATTTAGTTTTTACTTTTATACTTTAGTTAATTATGTATTGTTTGTGTTTTAGAACTCATATTTGAAAGGTTTAATAATTTTTACAAAATAATCAAAGCTTTCCCTCATTCTGCAAGGCTTACTTTACCAAGAGTGTATAAAAAGATTTTGCTGGAGGCTAAGGTGTGTCTGCCATTCTATCACTCGTGGGTACCCGTTGATGTGTGCCAACATAAATAATCAACAGTAATGTACAGAAAAAGAAAACTAAAACATTAAAAATAAACTATAAGTGAATAGGTTAAGATGTGAAATGATGCATATGACAAAAAGGAGATATTTTAAGATTATTCATTGAAGAGTTAAAAGGTGTGCACATATTTCTATTTCTTACTTCTAAGCATTTCATTGCACTATACATTGATGATAATAGCTAAATTTAGTGATATAGTAGAAAAAATGGAAAATAAAATATGAATATTTACCATAAATAACTTCATTCAGGAGGTGCTAGAGATTATGCAAGTGAAATGTGAAAACTGTAACATAATAAATATTTTTATACTCAAAACGAAAATAACCTTGCAGTTGAACTATTCAGAGTCTGAGTGTACATAATTAAGTTAAATAATGAATTTTTATTAGAAATAGCAGAAAAACAAAACAAAATTGAATATCCCATTCTTCTCAAACTACACACGTTTCTGAAAATTCTTGTCTAGTTTTATACAATTTTATCCACTAGAATGAAAGTTAATGAGAGTTATGTAATGTGCTTCACCTTCTAGCACATTATTATCATAGGGTTAATGATATTGATAAAGACATAATTAGTACAAATTGCTAATCACATTAAACTCTTATATAGTTCTAGCTTTACTGAGAATGTTGAGGTACTACAGAACAACCTGAACTGATTGACAAGTTGGCCAAATACTTGGCAAATGATCCATAATTATTAAGTACAAGGAAATTAATTTGTGTTGTTATAATTTGGGAGAAATATTTAATATACATGAGAACACATTCAACAGTGAGACCGAAATAAAGGACCTTGGCTTAGTTGTAGATAAGTCACTCAAGCCCTTGAAGCAGTGCTCAGCAGCATAGCAAGAGAGGGGCAGTCCTCCTGGCATAGGTGTGAAGGGGCACAAAATTTCCTCTGGCCTATAATGCCTATTAATTTATAATTATGCCCTCCCCTAGAGTAAATACGACACAGTGTTACGTTATTTGTGTGTATTACTCTTGCAGTTTTAACTTTTAAAAGCCACCCACTGAAATACAGTGAGACCGAATTGATGTACATAAGTAAATTACACTATTCCATCATTCATCTGTAGATCAAATACAAGTCCTAGAGTACAATGTATAAGTAAGTGTATGTTCAACTAAAATAAAATACGAGAATGATGTAACATATTAACTGGTGTGCGAGATTGGCAATATATGCAACAGGCAAGATCTAGATCTAGTAAACATTATAGGCCTAATGTAGTGGTTTGTAATTTTATTGGCTGATTGTAAGTCATGTCTTACACCAACTAATGTACTAAACTTTAGGTCTAATTGCAGTTATAACTTTATTTCTTGACCCTAGGTCCATCATCATACAAATTGTAGCCTATATTATAGACATACTTAGACCCACACTAACTATTAAACTAGACATTGCACTGATGTTTTTATTAACAAAACAAAAAAGTCTTTCAAAAATCACGCAATAAACAACAAGGAACAAACACATCATAATCTGCCACATAAAAGTAAAGGATTATCTCACCAAAATCTTATTGTCTAGACATCAACAGTGACATTACCTTAGGATGTTAAAAGCAATCAAAATTATAAACTATTTGAATCCTGGACCCAGTTACACTGCGTTATTTCAATTAATTTTTTGCTCTCTGTACTGCTTCACTTTTAAGATATACAATTCCTCCAAGTATTTCCTGTGCTTTTTCTGTCAGTTTTATTTTTACTATCTAAAGTTCATGACAAGAGCATATATTTTGCTTTATTTTTCACGTGTCTTTTCTAACTCAAGCATTATTGCACACATTTCACGTTACTTAGCTGTCTTTTTACAAATTCTTATTCTACTACTAGTAGTAGTAGTACTACTATAAGGTTGTCAAGAAATTAATGTCGCTTTTTTTAGATGAAAAAACCCGAACAACTTAAATATCAAAACAAAACATTTATTATTTAATGAAAACATCTCCATTCTTATCGATGATGCTTTTCCATCTTACAATCAGGTTGTTAATGCCCTGATTAAAGAAATCCCTTAGCTTTGAAGCAAAAAACTTGTTGATGTCCTCTTTAACACCTTTCGCATTAAGATGGCATTGCAGCGAACGAAAAAGATGGTAATCTGATGGTGCCATATCTAGAGAATATGGTGGGTGGGGAGAACTTCCCAACCCAACTCCATAATATTGTGTTGCGTCAAACATGTCACTCAATTGATGAGTGAAGGCCGTTTCTAATGAAGGGCTTGATTTAAAAGTTCCAGTTGCTGACTATAGATCTCTGCATTGACAGTTCGCTGTTGAATGAGGAGTTTGAAATGAATTACTCCTTTATGTCCCACCAAATGCAAAGCATCACTTTCTGTGGATGGAGTACAGATTTTAGGGTCTGAATTGGTTTTTGTCCAGGATTGAGCCATTATTTTTGGTGTTTAATATTCACATAGAGAATCCAGTTTTCATCACCAGTGACAATATTGTTCAAAAATGGTTCACGCGCATTACGCACCAGAAAAGATGAAGCAATGTTCACATGTTGGAAAGTGATGATCATCGGAGAGTTCGTGAGGCACCCAAGCACCTTCTTTATGGAGTTTTCCCATATTCCTTAGAATTTTACTTATTGATTCATGAGAGACATGCAATTTTAGGGCCATTTCACGAGTGTGTTGCCTTGGGTTAGACTCAAGAAGCGTCTTCAGAGCATCAATATCAATTCCAACATGTCGGCCCCTGCCATCAAAGTTTTTAAGATAAAGTTACCTGAACGAAATTTGCTGAATTATCATTGACATTTAAGAATGTTCAAAACATTTCTATAAACTTCTTTGATTTTCTTTGTGGCTACAAAGTCATTGTCTCCCTTCTTGTATTCAAACAGCATTACATGCCGAATGTGTGTCTCATCGTGTGCCATCACTATAAGGGATTAGAGTACAGTCAACTTTATACATTATAGAGGCTACACTAACGTGACATTTAGGCGGTTCGTTTAACTATTATACATGATGTACTTTTTGGGGGGGGCGGGGGGGAATGAAAGTGTTCCAAAACGCGACAATAACTTCTTGATGATCTAATATTACTAGTGGCACTGGCAGTACACTTACCTCAACCACCAATTTTTGAACAGCTACATTTTCCTTACTAATACTATAAAACTGTTATCGCTACGAATGACAATAAATATGTAATACTAATAATATTGGTTGAAATATATTGCATTCATAAAGTATTGTTATTAAATTTTCTTTTACTAGCTTTACTTTGTATTACTATTAATTGAACTTTGAAGATTTACCAAACTTAATCCCAAATTCTTGAAACTCATTTTTAAAAACAGAAAAAAAATGTATGAATTCCTGCTTAGAATGCACTTTTTAATTAACAAAAAAAGCAATACCATAAATAGAGAACATGTAAACCTTAAAAATATTTATTTACACTTTACACCATTGTAAAAATATAAACTCCTACCCCATTTTCAGGTCTCTTCAGGGTATATTCGCGCCACCTAGTCATATAATAGCATCGCTTGTAGAATTTTACCTGACACGAGACTTTTGTGCTCAAAATTAATCAACGCCTCCGCAAATCTTTGGTGTAAAAATAATGAATTAACTTTATTCTTGGAAGAAACTGCAATAATATATTTTTAAAGTGTTTATATTAAAATATTAAAACAGTCATACGGTCCGAATTCTTTGACCGAATTCATTTTACATCGTGTTTGACTTTTTTTTTTGCTACAAGCTTCATTTAAATCGCCTGAAAGTTTGTTTGTTTGTAGTTAAGCACAAAGCTACACAATGGACTATCTTTGCTCTGCCGATCACAGATATTGAAACCCGGTTTCTGCGTTGTAAGCCTGCTAACATACCGCTGTGCCACTGGGCGTTGAGCTCGTAAGTATCTCATTTCATTAGATCCCTCAAGATATATTGTGTAAGGCCTAGAAATTTCATTTGTTCTGGATTAAGTTTGTTTGTTTGTTTTTGAATTTCGCGCAGAGCTACACGAGAACTATCTGCGCTAGCCGTCCCTAATTTAGCAGTGTAAGACTAGAGGGAAGGCAGCTAGTCATCAACACCCACCGCCAACGCTTGGGCTACTCTTTTACCAACGAATAGTGGGATTGACCGTCACATTATAACGCTCCCACGGCTGAAAGGGCGAGCATGTTTGGTGTGACGGGGATTCGAATCCGCGACCCTCAGATTGCGAGTCGAGTGCCTTAACCACCTGACCCTCTGGATTAAGTAATCATTTGGTTTTTATACTGATATACGCACTTCGTTGCCTTCCGTTAAAAACTACTGCCATTTTTTTTTTCGTTTAAAGTCCATACATTGTTGTAATCCACAAAAGTACTTTGGGTAGTAATTTAAACGCCATATGGCTGGTCATGTAAAAAAATTTCTTTAGTACACACATACATTGGTTCTGAACCGATCTGTAGGTATAAATTAGTTTGCTTGCAAAATGTGTCGGGCGATCCTTGCAGCATTACAAATAACTGAGACAAGCACAATTACAGTCAGTTTAACAAACAGAGAAAAGGCAAATATGTTGCTGTGTTCGAAAGGAGCATAGCAGTGAGTGCACATCTGGCACTTGCCAAAGTGGCCAAGACAGTTTCATTGATAGGCTGCTCCAAAACATCATGTCATTTGACTTTATCAGAATTGGCAAAATGTGAATGAAATGTTGGCTACGAGGGAAATTGTGGCTACAAAAATGTAACGGCAAATAGAGGAGAAAGGTGATTAAGCAAGATGACAAAGTCCAACCACAACCTCAAACAATCGACTAATTGTCAGAAACATTCAATTCAGGGCAATCCACACCACTTGATCCTATTTGTGTGGTCACAAGTATTCATTGTGGGGGAGACATGGTTTGAGAAATGTCTGATGGCATAGCCTAGGGCACTTGAACCCTTTAGGAGGCAGAATGAATGCCATAGCTTACTCCCATGACCACCACAATCCTCAGATCTTAATCAAATTAAATATCTATAGAATGAACTTAAGAGACAAATTAGCCATCACGATCCTCTGCCTACCTCACTCCATAAATTGCATACAATATTAACAATTCTGTTACGTCATGTCATAGCTGTTACTTGAGCAAAAAGTGGTTTAATCCCGTATTAGGTATAGGTCATAATCAAGCAGCTAATCAGAGTATGTACGTATTAGTAATGTTACGTCTCAGTTCGTTAGTTAATTTTCCGTAAATTCGTTCCGACGAAACTTTAGAGACACAAGTCCTTTCTTAAATAAAACTGGTTTATTCTTTCTGAATATAATTTTGCGATACACTTAATTTCAACAGTCGCGCTATAACAAACGCTATAATTCTCAACGAACGTCTCACGTGCTCGATTCAACAATACTCAGTTCAATTACACACACACTGTCCCGTCACGTTGTGACCGTCTTAACAGAATTTCTTTCTGTTTGAATAGCTTCTAGTATTATGAAAATATATAATTTTTAAGAAAAATTAAGAGCAATCTAAGAAGGTGACTAATTCAGATGTTTTTATAGCTTTGGATTTAAATAAACTGCTAGTGTCGAAACTGTCAAGACTAGAACATAATAGCAAAGAACTGGTGTTTACGTGTTTTTTAAGTAATGGAGATGTCCTTTTGAAATTTAGTTCCATTAATATTACTGGTTATAATGTTTAAAATAATTTTAAGCGTTATTTATTACTAGTTGCGTATATAAATATTATTTTGCATGATTAAATTAATATCATTGGGTGGACTCTTTTGAATTATTTGGTGAAAATAATGTGAAATCTAGTCCACCTGACGATAATAACTAAATTTATTTCTTCTGTAACATTTGCCATAGGTTACATACACTTCAGTACTAGTTGTGGGTCTAAGTTCACAAACAACATCTCAAGAGAAATTCCTCGCTAATGGTACTTATGCCTAACGCATTTAGCTTTGATAAATAAACAAATAAACATGTAACTCACAGCGTAATTGGATGGCAGGGTAGATGCGATAACTCACATTGTCTAACACTGAACTGACTTTTTATTACTTATCACTCGAGCTTATAATATACCCTTGTTTCTAGAATTTCAAAGTTTCTCAATCCTTAACATTCAAGAACATTCTAGGTATTGTATCATCATCATTATGTTTAGTAGCCCCATGGAGACAAGAACAGATTACAGCGCTATCTTCTTCCTGGGTTGTAAAAGTCCCTTAACAATCGTAATATAAAACAAAACGCTATTCTCCAGTTTTTTTTTTATTTCTTTTTTGGTGGTTTTCTTTTCTAAGGGTTATGGTATGCAGATGAGATGTCCTTTTCTCCCTTGCTCTCACTTGCATACTGTCACTGATGGAGTTCTTTCTGGATAGATGGGTGAGCAAGTTCATTGGCGGCTGTATCCTCGGTGATCATCTGGAAGTGGTCTCAACAAGAATCCTGAAGTCTACAGCACGTTGAATGGCAAATTAATCTCTGAAGTTATCCAATTCTACATTCTGTCATTGATATACTTGTAGACAATCACAGTGGATGACCTTTAGCTTGGACTGCTTGCCCTTCTTGATTCTGTGCCTCATATCATTGATTAGTTGGATATGCAAGGTTATTTAGTGTAAGAGTTATTATTTAGTTCATTTAATGATCTAATATTTAATGATTTTTTAGTTTTAATAACAAGAGTGTTAAAAGGTAATTATTTTAAAAATTATAGTTATGATAAATTTCTTTACATAACTCGATAAGTCATAGGTTGTGTGTGTAGTTCAATTGTTATAAAATGATGGCACATTACTCGAACCTACTGTATGTTCTCGTAGCTTGTAGAAAGTTCTAGGCCTCAGTTGGGCAAAGTATATTTGTCTTGTCAAAGAGTGTTCTATATTAATTGAACCCGCCTGTGTGGACTTTGACGAAAAGGAGACAACTAATTGAAGTTCTAGATATAATTATGGTAACCCACCGGGTTACGTAAGTGAATTGTCGCAGACTGTGTAGTAAGAAACAGAGTAGAGAAAAATAATTTGTCTTGTCAATTGGGTTCTAAAGAAAATGGACCAGCCTGTGTGGACTTTTGATAAGAAAATAGAATTATTTAGAGTTTCAGAAAGAACTTTGATATCCTATAGTGTAAAGAATTTTTGTACATACGTTTGACTTATATTTTTTAAACAAGTTGGTTGTGTGCTGTGCGGTTATTGTTCGAATTTATCGCCAACAGTTCACAGACACCTACTGTAGAGAATCCGTTCCCTACATACATAAAAACCTGACATGATTCTTTTCAGATATGGCTCTTCCAAACATCGGCTTAACTTTAGAGTTAATCCCTTCCAATTGCAGGGATTGTACAACCATACTATGTCACCTCAGTGGAATTCAATCTTATCAACATTAACATTATATCAACTTTTCATTTTATCACAAGCTGATTTAGGTCTTGAAATGGCAAAGTCATGTCTGACATCAATGTTGTTCCTTAACCATCTATGAGTTGGTCGTTAGACCATATTAGCTTTCATCATCACTTCTGGATGTCATATCGTGGACTATACTCTATTGTACTTTTAGCATTTCAGTGGTCTCTTTCAAGGTGATGCATGATGTTAAAATTGTATGCCTGAATTTTCTGTAGCCATGTTGGTATCTTGCCTTCTGAATTGCAAACATTTACCGGCAGAGGACCTTATGATCTATCTGAAATGTAAACCTTTGTCCATATAAGTAATTGTGGAAATTAAAGGCATCACTAGGTACTGGTACAAGGAACCCATGTTCCGATTCTATTTGATGGTGCTCCAAATCCCCATTTGGTGTCTTGAAAAATCAGAATAGAAAACCGTAATCGACATCATATTATAACGCATATCTTTTAAGCACCTAGCAACGTCTCTAAGGGAAATAACCTATGTTCAAACAACACTTAGTTGCTCTATTTGAGTAGAATAATACCTCCTTTCTGTTGCATTTGTTGCATTGTTATTACATTAAGCAATCACTTGTTCTTTTCTATATTTTAATGCAAAATAACTATCACCTGTATCTCAAATGGGTGGAGCTTTAGTTTGTTGAATGCTTATTCACAATCAATAGTCCAACAAACTTTATTTAGGTTTTCAAGTAATTTGTGTAGATGACAAATTCTGTCAAATAATGATTTTACAAAATGACAGTAGTAAGAGCATAGTCCAAGATATCCTCTTTACCTCAAGCAAGTTCCTTGATGTTGGTCATTTCTAAACAGATTTAACTTTAGATAGGTCTGTAGACACTCACCTTCTGCTGACTGTGTGAGCTAGGAAACTCACCTGCTGATGGAACAATTCACACTTCTTGTGATTCAGCTTAAGATTCTCATTCCTTAACAACTTCAGAACTTTCATTAGCTCATCATAAACATTATCAAAAGTCTTCCCATGTGTGATTATTTCATCCAAATAAATGAGTCAGACATTATAGGGTAGTAACAAATAGTAACACAAAACATTGCCAGAATCAATTTT